CTTGAAATTATCTAAGCAGGCTGGAGGGTTTGACTTCAATCCCTTCTCTGCTCTCACCAGCAGTAACACAGCTGGGTGAGGAATCTTGCCCTGTCCCTATGCAGCCTGACTGTTTTCTTTGATTGTGGAACTCAAAAAACAACATTCAGTTCAATTCAGTAAGCATTTCTGATGCCTCCTGTGCACCCATCCCTGTGCCAGGAGCTGTGGAGAAAACAAGTAACAAGCTACTCATATATCCATTTGTCCTCTCATAACACTGGCCTGCCTGATAAACTCAGCACTTTTCTTCTAAGTTTGGCTTTTTGTTTTTATACAAGGCCTGCCTCTTAATACATACTGACTGTGTGAGCCTGGGCAAGTCGCTTAACCACACAATAATTTCTAGTTATATGTCCTGAGCCCTATCACAAACTAATATTTCTCTGTTCTTTGGGACAGAGAAAAAAATAAAACAAACTGACACAGCAGTGATACCTGACAGTATATGCAATATTCAATACCCATAGTCCCCTATTTCTACTTCTAGAGCAAAAGATACATTTTCTCAAAATGTTCACATGAAAGTCATTATTTGCAAGCACTTCTGGTGACATAAAGAAAGACTCTTGGGGAGCTAGGTGGTGTAGTGGATAGAGCACCAGCCCTGGAGTCAGAAGGACCTGAGTTCAAATCTGGCTTCAGACACTTGACACTTACTAGCTGTGTGACCCTGGGCAAGTCACTTAAACCCATTGCCTAGCCAAAAAAAAAAAAGTTTTGTTCTAATTAACTTAATGAACATCAAAATTGTTATGCTATGTTACATGTTGATACATTTATTAAAAATCCAACTTAATTGACCTGAAAGCCTTTGGTTAGAGTTTTTAAAGGAATATACTATCTAGGTTTTCTTTTATTTGTTAAAATAAAGCAAATGTTTGTATGACATTGTAATTTTAAACAAGTAAGCAGATGTTGGTGAACAATATTCATGATGTGTGAAGTGAGTTGTATAGTAAAGTGTGTTTGGAATTCATAAAAATGGCTCTGAGAAGACTCGGTTAATCAACAAGCACTTATTAAGAGATTAATTACTATATGCCAAATATTTTGCTGAGTGCTGAAGGAAACAAACAAAAAAGTGAAAACATCCCCTGCCCTCAAGGAACTTGCATTCAAATGAGTAAGACAATATGTACATGTGTGGATGTATGCAAGGTTTAGTCCATGTAACATATAAAGTAGAGACACTTTAAAGTAGATAACTTTAGAGGAAAAGGTACTAGCCACTGGAGTGACAGAGAAAGGCTTCCTACAGAAAGTGGCACTTGGAATAAGTCTTGAAGGAAGCCAGGGATTCTGAAAGGCAGAGGTGAGGAGGTTTGGGGACATTCTAGGCATGGGGGACAGCCAATGCACATATGTAGAGATGAGAGGCAGATTGTCATATATGAGCGGCAGCAAATAGGCCAATATGGCAGAGCTGCGTAATGCATAGAAAAACAAATGCTTCTTGGCTTCCATTTATCTTTCAGTTTAAATATTTGTGATAGTTTCGTTTTCTTTTTTACTAGACCTCTGATTTCATTGGTATAGGGAACTTCCAGTGAGGAAGCTCTGTTGACCAATAGAGATTGACACCTTCCTTCCAACTCAGTCTTAGTGAGTTGCCTAGGATACTTGGAGAAAGGGTAAGTGACTGGCCTCCAGTCATACAGTCAGTATGTATGAGAGGGAGGACTTGAACCCAAGCCCTCTACCCACTAAACCATACTGCCTCTTATATTATAAATGTAAATATATATTATACATAATAAATACAAATATGATATTAAATATAAATATAATATACATAGTTATAATAAATTTTGACAAGTTTTTCAAAATGTTATGTCAGATTAGAAGAATATTCTGTGCCTTTTTTTTTTTTTGGAAGAGAGTAAACAGGGACTTCTGAGACGGGAGGGCTGTGGGCCAAAGGCTAGGAGCCACAACTGAATTCTTTCCCTCAGATCTGCTCCTAGTATAATTGGAGAGATAGTACTAGGATTTCACAGGAGCAAGTGAAAGATGGGAATGAAGTAAGTATTAGAAAGGGGCAAGAGAAAAAGAGGCTGGGGTAACCTGAGAGATAGTGGAGTTTCAAGTCATAGAGGCAAGAAGAGTGGAGAGGAGAGCTCAGGGTAATATGGATTCTAAGGCTTTGGAAGGAATAAGAGTTGGGAAGAGCAAGGCTAAGAATTGTCAGGTTCTTGGCCAAGTTCTACCCCAAACTGTGTTACATACAAAAGATTTGGGGGGGGGGGCAGCTAGGTGGCACAGTGGATAGAGCACTGGCCCTGTATTCAGGAGGACCTGAGTTCAAATTCGGCCTCATACACATAACACTAGCTGTGTGACTCTGGGCAAGTCACTTAACCCCATTGTCTAGACAAAACAAAAAAATTTTAAATATGGTTCCTATTCTTGAAATTTTTCTAATGTGTGAAGGTGAAAAAGAATAATAGAAATGCCCAATGGTGGGGCCTGGACTCATGGTCCCAGTATTAAATTTCATGATCACTAGATAGCTAGTTAAGATAGGAGCTAACTACAAACTGCATTTTAGTATTCTTTGCTACATGAGATAAGTATTTTTATTTATTTATTTGTTTGTTTGTTTGGTTTTTTGGCAAGGCAATTGGGGTTAAGTGACTTGCCAGGGTCACACATCTAGTGTCAAGTGGTGTCTGGTTTGAGACTGGATTTGAACACAGGTCCTCCTGACTCCAGCGCTGGTGTTCTATCCACTGTGCCACCTAGCTGCCCCTAAGTATTTTTTTTTTAAAGAACCTTTAGGCCTCCTGCAGTCCAGAGATTAAGTACAGACTGGTATTGTGCTACCTGAAGGAATATTTATGCTAATCAAAGAAGTGCAGATTAATAATAACCCTAAGGTGTGTCACTTCCCACCTATGAACCATCTGGCTTCAGCCTACCTTTCCAGGTACCAATCCTATTCCTTGCTACCAAATCCTACATTCCACCCAACTGGCCTATTTGCTGTTCCCCACTTAAGATAGTCCCTTTCCTATTGCTGTGCCTTTACGTAGCTTGTCCCCTATACCCAGAATGCACCCTTTCCTCACTCTTCACTGGATTCTGCTTTTACTTATCATGTATGTGTTTTCTTCCTGGTAGAATATAAGCTCTTTGAGGGCAGGAATTGTTTCATTTTTGTCTTTATATCCACAGTGCCTAGAACATAAGTGCTTAACAAATGCTTTTTGGATAAGTGAATTAATGATTGGAGTGGGTTGGAACTGTGGGAAAACAAGCACACAAATTCACTGCTGATGATGTTGTGAATTGGTTCAGCTTTTCTGGAAAACAACTTAGAATTACGAAAAAAAAAAGAGAGGTAGTACACTGTTTCTACCCTTTGACACAAAGATCCTACTATTAGGACTATACTCCAAGGAGGTTATTGATGATAAAATATTCACGTGTACAAAAACATTCATAGCACCATTATTTACAATATTAAAAGAACTAGAAATAAAAAGTGTGTAATAATAGCTGAACAAATTATGGGGCATGAGTAATGGAATGTTACTGAGCTATAAGGAATAATAAATATGACAAATTCAGAAAAACATGGTACAACATATAAAATGATGCAAAGTGAATGAAGCAGAGCCAAAGGAACAACGTACATAATGATTATATCAAGGTAAATGAATTCAACGTGAAAAGACAGAAAAACCTCTGGTTATAGTGTTTAATGTTAGTACTACATTGTCAAAGTTTAAGAGCATATTTCTTCTTTTTTGAAGTAATCAATAATCTAATTGTTTCAGCAGGGTGAATAATATACTTTATAAAAGGATTACTTGGGTGTTCATTGTGTCCAAACAAAATGCATCTAAAAAAAATTTTTAATGCTTTTTTTTTCCAAAGAAAGAAAAAATACCCAGCAAGGAAATGCTGCATACTGCACATTCCAAGTGTCTTTCAGCCCAAATCTGAGCCACTGGATAAAGATCAGTATTCAGGACTATGGGTTTGATTCCCATGTAGGCTAGTTAGCTTCATCCCCAGCTGCTATATTTATGTCTTTGGTCACAAAGAAAATCAGGGCAGAAGTCATGGTATCTATACCCTCAGGTATACATCCTATTTAAGAGAAATTCAAAATGTCTTCTCCATGTTCATAGTACAGGATGTACATTTGCCAAAAAGACTTTTATGGAGAACTCACACAACGAAAGTGCTCATACAGAGGTCAGAAGAAGCAATACAAGGATACTCTCAAAGTTTCTCTGAAGAACTTTGGAACTGGTCACGAGACGTGGGAGACATTGGCACAGGACTGCCCAGCATGGCATGTCTGCATTAAAGAAGGCACTGTGTTCTATGAGTAAAACAGAATTATTATTGTTCTTCTTCAGTCATGTCCAACTCTTCATGGCCCCATTTGGGGTTTTCTTGGCAAAGATACTGAAGTAGTTTGCCATTTCCTTCTCCAGCTCATTTTACAGCTGAAGAAACTGAGGCAAACAGGGTTAAATGATTTGCCCAGGGTCACACAGCTAGTAAGTATCTGAGAACAGATTTGAACTCGTGAAGATGAGTCTTCCTGACTCCAGGTCCAGTACTCTGTCCACTGAACCACCTAGTTGCCTAAGTGAGCAGAATTGCAGTAGCTCAATAGAAATGTGAAATGTACAAATTTAGAGATGTCGCCATTCCAAATGTTCATATGAACTATTTGTACACTACCTGTGGTAGAGCTTTCTGAGTTTGTAATGGTCCAATCAGCTATAGTCAGACACACTGTCCATTGACCCTAACATAGTGATGTCATTTTGGTCCTCTTTGCATATGAAGGACAACAAACAACCAACCACCTTACGGGGGTTTGGGTAGAGCCTCACGCTCTGAGTTTTCCTTATAGTAAAGTTTTCTTTGTAGATGTGATGTCTGCTAATGTTTTGGGATGACAGTTACTACCTCTCTCTTTTCTCTACCATTCTCAGGTGTTGTACAACATGGCGGCTGTGCAGTGCCAGCTGGGCCTTTGGGAAGAAGCCACCAAATGCTTAGAAAAGGCTATCTCCAAGAGACCAGAGGGAAGTTCAGCCACTCTTGAGGCTGCCCTGGACCGGATACAGGTGAGTCAGGCAGGTGGATGACATCACTGGGAGCTTATCCCTGAGGAGAGGGCCCTGGGTGAGCTGGTGAGGACTTTGGCTGTCCACTCTCTTCTCAGGTGAACTGTCTCTAGGCCAGGGACTTCAGATATAGTAAAGTAAAGCAGTCTTGTCTATGGTATGTCTTTGGTGCCCTGTTTACACAGAGACTCATCTAAGAATATCACTCCCTCTTTCTTCTACTCTATACCCAAATCCTTACCCTCTATATTGGTTTCTCCTATTTAATATCTAGTCTGATAGTCATACTTTCAGTTTTCAGGCACGTGATCAGACTGAGACACGTGATGATTGGTATTTATAGGAAGAAGGGGTGATCAGTGGATTAAATAGTTGTGTTGACTTTCTAACCTTCCCAGAAACAAGGAAAGGATCAGTTGACCTTAAGTAGTTCCATCCAAGCTAAAGAATCAAAGATTCCTGTAGTATTGTAATCCTCTGGCAGGTACCAGAAGTGGGGAAAGCCCTAGTTTACCTTATTTATGCCTAAGGTCACCAAGCCATTTGTCAAAAATTATTTGCCGTCTCTTAGAAACGAACTTTTCTGGACCTTCTACAATTTCCCAAGCGTGAGATCTTTCGTCCCCGGAAGAAGGATGTAGAGCAGCTAAATTCCATGGATTTCCTGGGGAAGCCCAAGGTAAAGCAGTCTTGTTTACACTAAGTCTTAGGGCCTTGTTTATAGAAAGATTCTGGAGGTTGTAAATTCTTACTTGGATGAATCAGCGAAACCTTCCCCAGCACTGAACTGGACTGAGATCATAGTCCATGCCTGGTGCTAATGTTTCATTCACGCTGTCAATTTAGACTTCAAAAAAACTCTGGGTTTGGGATCAGCAGGACCTTGAGCTGAGACCCCAGAAGTCCCAGAGACATGGACAGGGAGGTCAGGGGTAGAGACAAATGATTGAGTCTTGATGTTGGAAGTTTGAAGCTTGAGAAGAAAGAAGGGAGGGAGGGAAGGAAAAAGGAAGGGTCTTAGCCTTGAGCAAAGGAGCCAGTCCTAACTCTGTTCTTTCCAAAATGAGAATGAAGTCTGAAATCATGACAGAATTTTACCTGCTTTGAGTTAAATCTTGCTCAACAAGAGTCAAATAAGCTCATAAGTCAGGGAAGTGGTGAGAGCTTTCATCCACCCACTGTTACTAGGTGATTAGTCTTGGGCTTACCCAGCTCACTCTGTATCAGGGACATAAACAGCAACTCTATAGGATTCTGTCCAGATAGTAGTGGAAAGAGAGAGAGTTGGGAAGAGGACCTGGGGGTGAGAGTGGGGATGAGGTGTGAGAAGGGCCGCTAAAAGGACTAAGGTAGGGGCAGCTAGGTGGCACAGTAGATAGAGCTCCGGCGTTGGAGTCAGGTGACCTGAGTTCAAATGTGGCCTCAGACACTTGATACTTACTAGATGTGTGACTCTGGGCAAGTCACTTAACACCGATTGCCTCACCAAAAGGCAAAAAATAAATAAATTAAATTAAATTAAAGGCCTAAAGTGAAAGATAATCCAATGTGAATAAAAGGTGACATGTTGGGGCCTTGGCATGAAGATTGTTGTAGGTGAAGCCATATTTCTCCTCTCGCACAGAATCCCCAGCTGTTTCTAATATTTGACCTAATTACAGGGAGGGCAATAACTAAAGTGAATGTTAGTCTGTATTCAAAGTATTTTACATCAGAAACATGAATTCCTAACCTTGTATAATAGAAAATATGAGCGCCACAGACTCATACAGGGTAAGTAGGTTAGGTGGTAAATATGCAAATACTAGCTAAGTAATATCTATGGAGAATAAAACCTCACAGGAGCAGCCATTTGCCACTCTGATATGCCCAAGGATGGAGTTCTGAATCTAAGAACATATCTCTTTTTTTCTTACTCTGCCCCAGGTCATTTCATCTGTTAATCCTAATGACAAGTACACTGGTTTTGAGCCTCTCAGGCCACAGGTGAGAAGGGACCTTTCATATTGGATCACTTCCTTGGAAAATGACTCTCCAGCTGAACATTATAGACATATTTGATCTTTTACAACAAAGAGTAAGGGCTTCTATGAACTCATCCAGATGCTCTGGGGGGGCAGGGACTCTGTATGCTTTTTCCTATTTTACTTTTCCTTTCCATTTAGAAAGTGGTATCCATAGTATCAATCAATCAACAAGCATTAATTCCTGGCACCATGACAGGCATATAACCAAAAACATTAAATTAAAATAATGAGATGTCCTGTTTTCATAATCATGTCAACTAAACATTATGGAGCTTTATAATTTTCAAAGTACTTTCACTTGCAGTCAAAGGAGTTAGAGGTCATTTAGTCTAACCATCTCATTTTACAGATGAGAAAACTGAGGCCCAGAGAAGGGAAATGATTGTTACCTAAGGTCATGCAGAGGGTAAATAGAGTCAAGATTCAAACCCAAGTCTTCTGACTTCAAAGCCAGGATTTTATCCACTTTACTACATTGGCTGTCTCTGTTGGCTCATTTAATGTTGGCTAACAGCCTTTTGAGTTCTATAGCTGAACTCATTTTCCCCCCATTTCACAGGTAAGGCTATATATGCATAGGTTTGCCTAAAGTCACATGGAATATTAGTGGTAGAGATATTAATCTATTAGTGCAAAATAGGGTAGTCTCAGAATTCTTGGGACCTTAATCCAGTCTTTTCCCCGTATCAAGATAATACAGTCTAGGAAGGAGAAATGAACCTATCTGTAATTGTTGCTTTAATTTCTGACCCCTTGTCTGGGATTTGTGGTTTGGGGGATATAAGACACTTTCCCTAGTTCAGTTCTTGCTGGTGTCTTGCTGATGCCCTGAAGAAAAGCCTGAAAGGTTTCTAGGGTTGGCATTTAGATACAGTATTAAATTCCTGGGGAAAAAAATTAAACTGTGTTTACCCAGCATGGAGAAGAGAAGGCTTATTAAGATTATCTGTAATGTTCGGACTTCTTGGTTAGAAGGACTGGGAGAATGATCTGAGAAGGAGAAGGAGACCCATAAGTAAAAGGGCCATTTTCTGTTTTTCCCTGTTTCATGGGTTGTCATGGTCAAAACATGGCCAACTTCTCCTGGCTGTAGTTGAAGAAATGCCCCTGAATATAGAAAGGGCCTGGAGTTGGCCCAGAGTGAATGGGAGAATGGGTAGGAGTCTGGAGTTTTGCTTCTTGGTCATTTCCCTGAAGGCAGTCCCCTTCCCTTTTCCAACCCTAGGAATCGATCCAAGAAGCAGTTAGGGAACTCCTGCCTCTCTCCATCTATCACATGAGATTAAATGTAGCTTTTCTGGTTGATCTTTTCTCAGAGAATCCACTGGCCAGTTTCCCCGATGGAGCCTGTCAATCCCCTGAAAGTGGACAAACTGGTGAGACTGAAAAGTACTGTGCAGGGGAATAGTGGAGTGGGAAGAAAGGATGAATGAGTAGACTCATCCTATGAACTATAGGACCAAGACAAGGGTCAGTCCTTCCTGAATAACTAGTAGATGAGGAACCCACCAAGAGCCAAGTTGTTAAGTAGCATAACTCTCTTCCAGATTTTCTTCAATAGCCTTGATCAAGACTTTAATCTCTTGTTTACCAGGTTTACAGTAAGAAAAGTCTAGGGGGCAGCTAGCTGGTGCAGTGGATAGAGCACTGGCCCTGAAGTCAGGAGGACCTGAGTTCAAATCCGGCCTCAGACCAAACACTTAACACTTACTAGCTGTGTGACACTTACTAGCTGTGTGACCCTGGGCAAGTCACTTAACCCCAATTGCCTAAAAAAAGAAAAAAGTGTAGAAAGTATAAAAGCCCAGATCTTCCCAGGTTATAGGGAAATGTTAGGCCACAAGCTGCCCAACCTTTACTGGAGTAAGGTTTTGGGTCCCTCTATGTGTTACATGGAAGGGAATACTTCTCCAGGGCAATGTCAGACAACGTTAGTGTTTCCAAATCTCTCTGCTTGTCCCAGATTCTGTTAAATAACAGTGAAAATAAATAAAGGAAAATTAGTGCTTTTTTCTGAGGGTGCTGCAGTCCATCGAACCCTTGGTTAGTATAAATGCCTTAGAAATGAGATCACTCCAACCTACTGGTGGCAGGTAACTGGAGCTAGGTTATTTAGCTTTTTCTAAAACTTCTCTTTGCATCAAACCGAAGGAAGCAGAAGAAAAAATATCCTAGTAACTATGCAACTGGAATTTCGGTGCTTCCTCTTTCTTCCTTTGTCGCTGATGAATTCTGAGGTAGGTAAAATTCCTATGTAACAACAATTAATTAACAATAACAACAATCAAAAAGAAGAATAAACAGGCTACACAACGCCATCCAGTTGGTAAAGCATTCACACAGCTAACTCCATGTAGAAGGGCTGCTTTTGCTAATGAATAGGTACTTTGACTTTTTAATTTGGCTTCCTTGCAGGAAGGTCACAATGGAATCCCATGTCCACCCACAAAGGGACCTCCTAAAAGGCCCCATTTAAACCAAGCTGGGGAACCAGTTTCTCCACTTCAAGGTAAGCTGATTCTCAGGCTCCTAGCCCCAAGAAGAAGGGCTCTCTGTTGGTGGGTCACAGGTGTGCCATGCTACCAGCTCCTTCCCCTAAATATTGCAACTGGGAAAGCCATCACTATGGGACATCTCTCCAGTTAGTCTATTCCTCATTCCATTTCTTTTTTCTATAGGACTCCCTCCTTCTGAAGGGATCATCCTGGGCTCCACAATATGTCCTGAAACGTCGGTAAGCATCTGGCAGCTACTTCAGGATATCATTACTGAACATGTTAAGTGCCATGGGAACATGGATTTAGAGCCAGAAAGGAATCTTAGATGCCATCAAGTCAAACTCCCTCATTTTACAGGTGAAGAAACTGAGGCACAGAGAAGTTGTGACTTGTCCAGGGTCAAAGGCAAGACTTAAACCCCCAAGTCTTGTTTTTCTCACAGTGTCCTTGTGAAAACTCAAAGCTAACCTTTTATCTATCCTTCCTTCCTATGCACTAACTTTTAAACTCCCCAAAGGGTAGGGCTGTACGTTAACATTATCATCATCATCACCATTATTGTTATTGTCTCATTCTTCTCATCTTTTTAATGCAGTTCAGCTAGAAAATGTCCTGGGACAAATTACTATCTTGCTGTTATTCTCTTGTATCTAATGTTCTATGAACTGCATTTTGTAATTGAATAAAAGTATTAGGACCATCAGTACATCTTCTGCTGGATCATTGAAAGCATCCTCAGCACAACTCCAGGAGTGCACAGAATAATAGGGGTGACAGGCATCTCATCCTATTCAGTTGACAAGGCCTGTGATTTCACCTTTGCCACATCTCTAAAATATGCCTCTTTCTATCCTCTGACACTACCGCCACTCTGGTGCAGGCCTTCATCACCTCACAGCTGGATTATTGTAACACCCTGCTGATGAGTCTGCCTGCCTCAAGTCTCCCACTCTAATCCATCCTCCATTTGGCCTAAAGTGATTTTCCTAAAGTGCTGGTTCAATCACATAACCCTCCCACCCAACTACTTAATAAACTCCAATGGCTCCCTATTGCCTCCAAGATCCAAGTACAAAATCCTCTGCTTAGTGCTCAAAGCCTCATAGCTTCCTCCCCCCTTTCCAGCTTTCTTACACTTTACTCCTCCCCACCACATGCTCTTTAATCCAATGACACTGGCTTCCTTGCTGTTCCAGGAACAATACGCTCCATCTCTTGGCTCTGGGCATTTTCTCTGGCTGTCCTACATGCCTAAAATGCATTTCCCAATAATTTTCCATCTCCCCCTTCTTCAGGTGTTCTCTTTATCCTCTGATTTCTTAATTTCTTTTGCTTTCAATTACTAATTGAAGGAGTCTAGACTTCTGATACATTTTTGTTCTACAAATTCTATGCTTCATATTTCTATTTCTTTCTCTTTTGTTATTGTTGTCTTCAACTGGGCAATATTGTGTTTCAAGTTTTCTATTCTATGTACCAGCTAGATGCTGGTATCATCTTCCATCAGTCTTTAATAGCTTTCTCAGATAATGTCTCCCTTGGTGGTGCTTGACACCTGTCCTTAAGGGTATTCCTTGATAGCTCCAACTTTCTTTTTATGGCTCTTATCATGGCAAGGCTGCTGCATATGCAGCTGGGTGCAAGCTCTGAAATTCTTTTACACTTTCTGTCAAATACTGTGGAAGAATACCTGCATTCGTTATGGTTATGGTAGATACCAGCTTTTTGGAATGACTGTTTTGGTATAACTGGTCCACTAGTTGAATTCATGCCATCAACCTCAAGAAGATTTTCAGAAATCCAGTCTAAGTATATTCATCTTTTTCAAAATAATTTGAGGTGTTGATTCTGTTCCTGTCATTTATTTTTTAAGATCTCCATCACTGTCCGATCATTTTTTTTAGATGTAGTTTTGAGGTTTGCATTAAGTGAATATTTTCCACTACCTAAGATTCTTTTTTCTGTATTTCATTTCTCATTTCATCAAATTTAGGCTTAGGGATGAAGTTATTTCTTATGATTGCCCTGCACTGAGGCATTGACAAAAATAACCCTTGCCTATATAGCTGGTGAAATGTTTCTAATTTTGTGAACATTGTTATGATGTAGTGCTCGTGCCTTATGAAAGTATTTGTGTCTCCGGTCCATTTCATGTGTATACATGGTTTGCCCACTTTAGCACACCATCTGTTCTGAAGGATGTCTATGGGATCTTGACATTTCTGATTGGTTCCGTTGTGTTGCCTTCTTGTGGTACTGGAATGCAAAATAATCTCACTCATTCTGCTCTTCTCTGTATCAAGCAGATCATTATGATGGCTTTAAGAAAGGCAGCTTGTGCCTGTAAGCCATTCCTTTTTATTTCTTGGATTCATGGCAGCAATTTCATCACATTGACTAGTATATAAACCATTCAGCAGTATTGTCAGAGCCCTACTAGACAGCGTTTCAGGGTTCCTGTCAGACCTCCATAGCTACTATGGTTATCTCAAGTTAACACGGAGTCCCTGTTATATGTCATTAAAACTCTGGCATCCTCAAATTTTGTTATTCTGTCCCTTTCCCACAACACAGACAATGGGTTGGATTTTAAGGGAGTTGATGATGATGATGTTGCTACTGATGATGATAACTTTCCATTTGGTATGTTATGAATAAATGAATGGATAAAGCATTTATTAAGCTCTTCTTATTTGCGAAACCCTGTGCTAAGTGCTGGGAATTTCAATAGAAAGCTCTTAAGGAACTTAAATTCTAATGAGATAGACAACTCATATGGAAGATTTCAGCTGCAAGTCAGGTGGGAAAATCCTTTGGTTCCTAGGGTATAGGGGAAAAGCAGATGTTAATGCCTCTTCTTTAATGCCATTTCCACCAATAAAATTATGTAATTTTCTGATGCTGACCCATTTGACAATGCCTAGGACTTTGGTGGCAAAAACTTTCATTTCTGGGTCTTTGGTAGCTGTGGCTTTGTAGCACTTGCAGGAGCAGTTATATTTTCCAAAGAACTTCACTTTTGATTCTTACAAAAGCCATGGTTGATAGGTCAGATATTGCCATCCCCATTTGGTATTCAAGGACACTGAGGCTCAGAAAAGTCAAGTGATATGTCCAAAAGCAAATTCATGTTAAAAATGGGGCTAGGACCCTTGGTTCCAGACTCTCCATGCAATATGCATCTGTGGTTTAAGGCAGGGTAGTACAAGAAATAATAAAAGCCTAAAAAAATGTTCTGGCCCTTTGTCCCCAAGTGCTTAAAAAGCTGATTGTACAAATAAGCAAGCCAAACAGATAAGTGAAAGACATCCTATCAATTCACAAATAATAACAATTCACATTTATGTGGATTTAAGGTTTATAGAGACTTTCATCCCAACAACCCACCTCCATCTTCCCAGGTTACTACCTTGCCCACTACACTTCATGGAAGCACCTCTCCCAATCCCTCTCCCAGAGAGGCCAGCGTACCAGTAGATCAAGCTGCAAAATCTTTTTTCTGATGCTTAGGTTTTCCACCCTCAGGGAAGGGGGGCGGTCTAGGAGAATTGACTCAGCCTACAATCTTCTGTATCATCTCAAGTTTGGGGAACCAACTGCTCTCTTTCCTATTGATATATATTCCTAAGATATAGCCTTTCTCATTTCCTGGGGAGCACTTGATTAATGTGACTGCCTAAACCCAGCCCATCTTCATTCTGTGCCTTATCAGGTCCCATCAGCTCAGGGAGAGGTCTCCAGCAACCCAGACACATCCGTCAACCTCAGAGTGCATTGTACTTTTACCGTGACCTTGGATGTGAAAAGGGGAGCATCTGTGCCTGTCCTCAGAAATATGCTGAGAGACAAGCTCCTGCAGCGATTAGAAGGTGCACAGCTCAGGTATGGATTTTGTGCTGATTCTAGGAGGACACAGGGCATCCCTTTATAGGATGTTGAGCCCCAGCACACACATCTGCTAGAAAGAATCATGCTGTTCACCTCCTAGTGATTGAGAAGTGATAGACACAGGATGCAGAATGAGACACGCATTTTATGGCCACAGCCAATGAGTCAATTTGCTTTGCTTGATTGTACACATTTGTTATAAAGATTTAATTTTTAAAAAAAGAACCCAGCTGATCCCAAAGAAATCAGTCCGTGGGCAAAGGGAGAATTCAGAAACATTTGTAGGATGAAATATTGAATAACACTGATATTGGTCCCAGTCTCAGCTCCTGGAGCTACAGATTTTCCCCTTTTAAGGGAAGGGTTGAGAAGAAGAGTGATGATTGTGAAGTTAATCTGCTAAAGAAGGAAGGGATGGGATCAAGGAGTGTGAGGGATCATCTCTTTATCGGAGATTGGAGTAGAAGAAACAGTCAGGCATGATATCAAAGAGTTTTAAAATGTGGAGAAGAGGGAGCTCATGATGAATAGCTCCTAATTTCTCAGTAAAATATATATCCCAGATCCCTTCTCATCTCCTTCCTGCCTACTGAGGGACCTCTTCTCTTAATTAACCTTTTTGTTTCTTATTTAACCACCAGCCCCTTCTTTTCTGTCTTTGAACATGCGTGGGTTGCTCCTGTCTTAAAGAAAGCTTGGCTTAAGCTCAGCACTTCTTACCAAATATCTCTTCTGCAGCCTGAAAATGCCTCCAGTAATCATTCTTCTTCTGAGAAGCTGGATTTCCCATGGGGAAACTGTCCACTATATCTAATTCCTCATCACCTTATTCTTTCCATGACTTCCTGCACTCCAGCTCCTATCCCTATCATAAAACTTTTTGATGTAATGGTGACATAACGACATAGTAAAGTTAGGGTCACTAGACCTCTGCCAGGCACTGGAGTTGGGAAGACCTGGGTTCAAATCTTACCTCAACCACTTATTAGCTGTGTAATAATAGACCAGGCACTTTAAGCTCTCTGTGCCTCAGTTTCCTTATCTATAAAATGAGAGGGTTGGAATTAATGGCTTCTAAGATCCTTTCCAGCTCTAAATTTATGACTCTATGATTCTATGTCCTCTGAGTCAAATCCAACAAATAAAAATCTTTATATTCCTTCTCAAATCAGGGGTTCTCCTGAGGTCAGAACTATGTCTCCTCAGTTTCCTGGCTTATCCCCACCCTCCAGTTGGTGACCTCAGCCTCACTCTTCACATTATTTTCTTTATCACTCTTCCTTATCCTCTGCCCAACCCCATTTTGGCTGGGCACTGGGCCATCTTGAAAGTCAGAAGTCCTTGTTTCAGTTTGGACCCAATAGGGACAAAAAAACATCTCAGCATGTAAATAGCATTTTGGGGTGAGCCCATTGGGAACAGACTGGGGAATTCCCTGGTAAGGTCACCATAGCAACCACACTTTTGCTGGCTTTGGTGAAACAATACAGTAAGCTTTAGTAGTGTAGGCAGCATTAAGACAACAATCAGTTATTAACATTATACTGTATTCATGAAGGATTTGACTTCATAGAGTTTTGATCAATCAACCATAATTTATTACCTGCTATAAGCAGGTACCATGCTAGATACTAGGAATATAAGAGGGGAGAAAAAAAAAAGAAAGAAACGGCCTCTGCCCTCCAGAAACTTATATTCTATTGGGGAGACAAAGCATACTAAACAGTAACAGGTAATTTTGGGAGGGAGGATACTAGTAGCTGGGGGGAGATATGTGTGGATATTGGGAAAGCCTTCAAGCAAAATGTAATGTGTGAATATTTGTTACATGAGTTTCTTTTCTTTTTTTTTCCCCAGTGGGGAGAGGGAAGTGGGAGGGAAAGAAAATAGAATTTAATTAATTAAAATGTTAAATTATAAATAACCCCAGGTTTAAATTTAGAATGTGGTGCTTGAGCTGGGTTTTGAAGGCATAAAAAAAGATTCTGTGAAGTAGAGATGAGGAGAGAGTGTATTACAGGTATGGAGGGCAGCCCATACAAAGGAGACATGAGATGGAGTGTCATGTGTGAGGAACAGTAAGAAGACTAGCTTCCCTGGACCAAAAAGTAATAGAGAATCAGACTGGAAAGGTAAGTCAGAGCCAGGTTTTGAAGGGCTTCAAAAGACTGGTCAGATGAGAACTGAGAAAAAGCCATCAGATTTCTCAATTAAGAGATCACTGGTAACTGTGGAAAGAGAAGTGTCAATTGAGTGATGAGGTCAGAAGCCAGATTGGAAAGGATTGAAGGATGCGTGAAAGGAAAGGAAATAAAGACAGGGGTTATAGACAGCTGCTTCTAAGAGTTTGGCAGGAAAAGGGAGAAGAGATACATGGTGATAGCTGAAGGGCTTTTTTTCCAAGACAGATGAGAGTTGGGCATGTTTGTAGACAGCAGGAATACCAGTAGATAAAGTGATAATTTTAGAGAAAGAGAGATTGAAAAATCAAAAGATGGGGATGATGGTGAGGGTAATCCAGTGGCAGAGGAAGGAATGGGATCAGTGGGTGTGGGACTATGTCATTGGGTTTTAAGATGTAGAGAATAGAAGAAGACAGAGTTCATGGCAAATGATTTCTATTTTCTCCATAAAGTATGAAGCAAGGTCCTTAGCTGAGAGGGGCAAATAAGAGGGAGAGGCACGGGAGGCTTGAGAAGAAAAGAGATGGTTTGGAACAGCCCCTGGGGGAGTGGGATGTAGTATCAAATTAGGAAAGAGTCAAAGGATTGACTTGCTACAATGAGGGCTTTTTGAGATTAAAAACATACATTTCTAGTGGAGGGCAGCTAGGTGGCATGATAGTGCACAGAGCCCTGGGCTTGGAATCAGGAAGATTCATCTTCATGAGTTCAAATTTATTCCCAGACACTTACTAGCTGTGTGACCCTGGGCAAGTCACTTAACCCTGTTTGCCTCAGTCCCTCATCTGTAAAATGAACTGGAGAAGGAAATGTCAAACCACCGCATCAGGGTCATAGAGTCAGGTGACTCAACAGCAAACATTTCCAACAAGCCCTCTCAGTGAGGTTCTGTGACTTCCTTCAACTTCTTCATTTGGCAGCACATGAGTGGAGCAGAGATGGCTAGTGACGGTAATACAGGGTTAGGGTTTGGCCAAGTACATGTGACTGCAGATTATCCAGGTTTCTCCTCAAGCTGTCACTCACCCTTAATAACTAGGGTAGGACATTAGTGGTGCTGCCTTTTCGTTGAAGAATTGTATGAAAAGCAATTTTGTAGAGAGGAACAATATTTCTATCTGTGACCAGAGGTGGACCCTAAGCTTCCCTAATGAAGTTAGTTGCTAATAGCAAATCACATGCCCATGCTCTGTGGGCCAAGAAGCCTATCCCCTGGTGGACTATGCATGTCACATGAGATGAACAGTAGGTGACTAAGTATCCGTTGCAGTTACAGCCACCAGGATAATGGGAAGTTCATTACAATTTCTGGGGAAGAGGCGTGTAAAAAAATGTGGCAGGAGGCAGCAGCAGACAGAAGACTGAGTCTCCAGTGCCAGGTAACAATCCCCTAGGTATCCTCTGGGAACTCTGGGGGCAAAGAAGACAGTACAGAAATACTCATGGAATGGATAGCAGTCCTCTCTAGGAGGCTCTGCGTCCAGACCCCAGATTCAGCCCTCATGTTTCTGCTCAGGGCTTTCTGGGCACTTCTCTACCCATCAGTCTCTCTGTCCTTCCCTGTTGTCTGTCCATTCATACCTGAGTTCTAAAGAAGCAATAAAGTCAGAGTTGCTGGCTTTCCTAGCAGCACCATGGTGTAACTATGGCCAGGTCAGATTTAGAAGATAAATAAATACATATTCACTCACCTGAACTCCCAAAAAGGCAGTTGTTTCCCTAGAGTATAAGAGCCCTCTTCAAGGATCAGCGAAGGCCAGCTGCAGTGCAGGAGTTTGTAAGCAGGATAGGCCTTCAAAGAGCTGTAATATCTGCAGTGGATGGATATGTTCTGGCTTGGAGACACTATCCATGTTTACTCCCTGCTCACCTCATCTCCAATCTGAGTCCCTGTATCCAGAGGTGTGCTGGTAAATTTTTAACAACCAGATTGCTAAAAAACAAAACAAAACAAACAAAACAAACCCCAAAGTACATTTTAAGCTTAATCTTTATATTAACACTTTCTCCATCACTTTCTTAAGTCTAGAAATGAAAACCATGCAGGACAAAAAGTAAATTGTCCCAGCTTTTTGAAAAAGAGAAAATAATAACAATAATATAGATAGAAATAAAAAATTTAAAAATAAAAATCTAGGCCCCAAACATCAATATAGCTCTGAAAAAAAGTCTTTAAAAAAGCCCTTTGTGTTTCAAATAGAGTTACTTGACTACTTAAACCCAGATCACTCTCATTAAATAGCCAATAATAGCCCCCAGCCCAAGCCTTTGTGGCTCATTATCTAGATTTTGATGGCTCAGGATGAGTGTGAATAGCAATTGTTTTCTCTTCTGGCCAGAAACTCTAAGGGTCTTCCCCTCCTAGATAGATGGTTTTGTGATTGGTAAATTAAGCCATCTTGTCTCAACTCTTACCTAGCCTTTGGTCATTGAATGGGCAGTGCCTCAGACTGAGACCTGGGAAGGATCTAATTTAGAAAGGACTGAGTCCCCACTGCATCCTGGGCCTTCCCCGGTCTTCTTGACTTTTGTCTTACCACTGAACTTTGATGACCCTGGAGGAAAGAGTGAGGCTGAGGGCTTTGTTCAGCTGTGCCTCACTAAAATCCAACTCTTGTGCAAAGTCAAGACCTCACCTTAGGATGTCCCCTTCGAGAACAAAGGAGGAGCAACAGCAACAAGTCTAGAAATCAACAAAACAATAAATCAGACCCTAATTTGTTGTGTTCACCAATTTCTGGAGAAATACTTACACTGACAACGTAACAATAGACTCTTGTGAGTTGGGTTCCAACTGGCTCTAGAACCTCCTGCCTGTATCCATCATTCATTATCCTTCCAGTCATTATTATACATTCAGGTCTGGCTTGATTGTCTTTCCAAAGCTTCATGTTGACCTTTCCCACCAATTGTTCTCTCCTTTGTTACAGTCTAGTTTCCCTTAGTTCTTCTGATCATCTTGGGTGTCCCCTTCTCTCCTGATGCAGCCTGGCTCCCCTTCCCTCCTCTGACTCAACCTGGCTCTTTTTCTCTCCCCTAACTCAACCTGACTCGCTTCTCCTCTTAGGGAACAGAGTGCCGTGGAGGCCGACGTGTGCTCTATCAAATGGTTGCTCAGTACAGCTATTCTGCAGAGGGACCTGAAGACCTAGAGTTCCAGAAAGGGGATACCCTGGACATTCTTTCTGAAGGTACTGGCCTTTGGGCAGCTCCTTTTGCCAAGGCCAGTCATTAAAGACTGCTGTGACTTGTCATATCTAGGCTTCCCTTAGTGCTGGATTAGTCTATGAGATTCCTGGATATTCCTGCCTGTTTCTGAAGAGGTCTAGGGGTTTTGGGGTGCTGGGACCCCAAGACCGCGGTACCGGGCCCTGCTGAATGAATTCAACTCAAATCTTCTTCAGCCAGAGGAAAAGTTTATTAGTGATAAATCACAGAGGCCAGGTGATGCCCATAAGGACAGGCGGGCATGAGAAAGGCTCAGCCTTTGGGGCACGAGAGATTCTCAGCCGGGTGACTCAGCCGGGTGACGCCTGTAAAGACAAGCGGGCATGAGAGGTTCTCAGCCTTGTGGGCCTGAGATTCTCAGCATCTGAATGAGGGCCAAGGTGGATCTTAAATACTAAAGTGACTTTGGGTGGCCAGAGAAGGGGGTTGGGGAAAGGGTCTAGGTAAGAATTCTAATTGGGGAGGTCAGAGAGATTGAATAGACAATGGGAATAGATAATGGAGGGAACAGGAAGGCAGAAGTTTGAAAGGCATCTGCACAAAATCAAGGTGGGGCTAGGACTTTCAAAAGGAGATAAAGGAAGGCCTTTCTGGGGCCTATAGACAAAAGGGAGCCTAAGGCTTTCAAAGGGAGATGAGGGTCTGGGGCCTGTGAGTCAGATTCCCTTTGAGGCAAAGGGTGAAGATCTTGGCTTGGGCCCCGCCCTCATCATCTCCACACCTGTACAAATAAGATTCATCACTTCACACGATCTTAGGCTCAAGAAGCAGGGACTTTAGAGGTCGTGTCATCCAACTCCCCCATTTTAAAGATAAGGAAGCTGAGGCCCAAAGAGGTTGTGTCCCTTCACACAGGTAGAAATGGAAGAGACAGTCTTGTGACTCCCAAGAAAGCCCCCTTTCCAAAAGCTAAGATTCAAGAAAGCCAAGTCAGAGATTAGATGCCTGGTCCCTGGTCAGAGAGTGAGTACTGTGGCAAGTCAGGGTAAGAGCCTAGCCTTCCCCTCAGACCACCAGGCTGTACTGCTTCTCCACCCCTGAAGAGTGGCCAGTTTCTCTAGGGGTTGTTTTTCCCTTTTTTGAGCTTTTGACATTTCACTGGGATAGAATGGAAATATTTCCAGTCATCCCCTCATAGAATCCCTTTACTCTGCTCCTTCCCTGCTTAGAGGTAAGCTTCCAAACATCTTCCCAAGCCTAATAGAAATTTTAGGATTGCTCCTTGTTGGTCAGCAGTGTGAATAATTAGATCTAGCTACTTCTAAGCATTATCCTATGACTGTCTTTTTGAAACTTTTTGGTTTCTGATTGTCATGTACTGTTTTTTTTTTTTTCAGTGAATGAAGAGTGGCTGGAGGGCCATTGCTCAGGTCACATTGGCATTTTCCCCAAATGTTTTGCTCAGTTGGCCAGTGTGACCAAAGAAGAGACTCCAGTGGAGCCATCCATGACTTACAGCTTCTGAACCTGGACCAGGCAGTACACAAGGACCAGGCTCCTTGCCATCACTGGAGTTCCCATTCCCACAGCCAGAGTGTTCCCCAGGAGTCCTATCTACATGAAGATTCCCCCACCAAAAGATTCCCACTTAACTTTTTTTTTTTAATTTCTGCACTTTAAGTTTTAATAACTCCAAACTGCACCAAGACACTTGGGACACCTGCATAGGCAACCACAACAATGTTAACAACCCATTATGTGCCTCAGTGAAAAGAATGGACGATGGTACAGTGAAAAGATTGGCAAGAGATTTCCTAGGACATGTTTTGTTTATGAACAACTAGCCTGAGTGTTTACTCTAGCGTCCTATGAGAAGAAAAGGTATTGATTGGACCTGTGATGTCACTGGCATAGAGGATTCTCAGGTGAGGAAACTCCCTCCATCGATGCAAATGTCCGTAATTTATAGTCTTAGAAAGTTCCCTAGAGCATTGAGAGTTTGAGTGAGTTGGCCGGGGTCATCACGCAATCAGTTTGTCCCACTTACTTTAGAAGACCCAGGCGTTCCAGCTCCTTGGAGAGAATCGCTTCCTAAAACATCAGCTTCCTGACTAATGGGATCCATAGGAGTTGGAACCGGGAAAAGGGAAGTGAGAGATCACTGAACCCAATCTCTTCATTTTATGGAGGAAGAAAATGAGGCTCAGAGAAGAAGTGACTTGTCCATGGTCATGAGGCTAAGAAATAGCAGGGCAGGGATCTGAACCTGGGTCGTCTTCCTCTAGGTCCAGTGCATCTTCCACTGGGCCCAATAATCACTGAGGTAGAAAGAAGCTAGAGGGCAGCCAGATCATTCCTGACGACCCGCCTTAGAACCCAGAATTCCAGACCCCTGGCCCACTGCTTTAGATATGTTCTCCTCCTGCCTATTCATTTTTCAGATGAGGCCCAGAGGGGAAGAGACTTGCACAAGGTCAGTTAGTGGCAGATCTTGGACTACATTTCTTCATCCTCTGAAAGGAGAATATACCTTATGAAAGATATTATTACAACTGTTAACTATCATCTAGAAAGAAAATCTGGCTCAATACTCAATTCAGGTGTAGAGTTAATGAAATAGAAACACCTTTGTGGTATTATTAAAAAAGGAGGGGAGGGGCAGCTAGGTGGTGCAGTGGATAGAGCACTGGCCCTGAGATCAGGAGGACTTGAGTTCAAATCCAGCCTCAGACCAAACGCTTGACACCTACTAGCTGTGTGACCCTGGGCAAGTCACTTAACCCCAATTGCCTTTAAAAAAAAAAAAGGAGGGGAAACAAAGCAGATACCCATTGATTCAGGGAACGGCCAAGGAAATTGTGGTAAATAAATTTAGTGGAATATCCCTATGCTGTACAAAGTTATGAATATGAAGAATTCAGAAAAAAATGTAACAAGGGGAAATGGATCTGTGAATCTTCTCTTGGCTCTAAAGGGATTCACCTGTGCTAGAGTGTTTGTACTTTGGGGTGACAGCAGACCTTTCTTAGTCCCTGTGATTGGGGGCTTTGTTAAAGAGGATTGGCAACTGAGCCAGGGAGAGCCCCCCACTCAGGTTGTAAGAACAAAGAAAGGACATCCAGCATCTTTAGGCCCTGCCTAGTTTAGAACACAGATCTCCCTTGGGCTTCTGGCTATTGGGAGAGGGGACTAGGGAAGTAATTTCCATGTCCTCCCCTAGCCCTTAACAGCATAGCAGCTAGAGGCACAAGACAGAACAACATGTGCTTGCTTAGGTGAAACAGAGACTGAACCTTAAGGCCTTACCTATCTCTTCTTTTTTGAATTTCTTTGTGTGAGCACAGATAACCAAACAGAGATCCTAAGAGGTAAGCATCTCCCCTCCTTAGGGTCTGCTTCTTAAGTCTGAGAGATTAGGAGTCCTTGAGTTAATTCTGGTTGCCCAGGAGATGACCATCCTTTTGTGAGGGGAAGGGCGCTAATACCAGAATTTAGCAGCCAAAGGACTAAAGCCAGAGCCCTTGCTAGAGAGACTGGAGATTAAACAGTGTAGCCCTGAAGTAAATGTGAAATGTTTGTTCAGCAATCCCACAAAGTACCTTTACCTTTGGGGAAAGTATAATATATAATGGATCATATTGTTTGTTTTATGTATTTGTTAACATACACTTATGGATCTTTTGTGTGTTAAGTATTTCTTTTGTAGTGGGGAAAAATAGCTGCCCTATACCTAATAAATGTTTTGTGTATTGAATATCTTTACTAGAAGGAATGATGTTAATAACTTTTAGGGTAGCTAGAGTGAGCTTTACCTAAGGTTTATTGTAGAAATTTTCCTTAGGTCTTCAGGGTTGGTATATAACAAGCAAGAGAAAATGTGAATCTGGGGCAGTTAGGTGGCACAGCAGATAGAGCACCAGTTCTAGAGTCAGGAGGACCCGAGTTCAAATGCAGCCTCAGACGCTTGATACTTACTAGATGTGTGATCCTGGGCAAGTCACTTAACCCAGATTGCCTTGCCAAAAAAAAGACAAATGTGAATCCCTGGAGCTAGGGTATATGCTCAGCTCCAATGCCTGTTAGAGAAGCATGGGAAGAATTATATGAATACATGTGGAATGATATAATAAGAACCAAGAAAACAATATACACAATGACCACAACAATGTAAATGGAAAGAACGAGAAAAGAAACAACTGTATAATTATGACCAAGTTTAACTCCAGTGAAGAGAGGAGAACATGCCTTTCCCTTCTTGGCAAAGTCTGGAACACTGCATTGCCTGTCACATAATGGTCACTGTATGAGTGCTTATTCCTTTCCCTTCCCCCTTTTGGCTGATCTTAGCCTCCTTAAGCAAACTTTTTTCTCTTTTTATCCTTTGTTACAAAGGGATGGCTTTCTGAGAAAGAACCTGGCTGCTTTTCTATTTTGTATGTTTCCTGAGCACAGGTGAAGAGAGGAATATATTCAGAAATGAAATTTTGTACACAAAAAACATTATAAGAAAATATTTAAATTAACAGAATCCTAGCAGTACTTTTCATAGTAACAAAAAAAAAAAGAAACAAAATGGGTGATCGTCAATTGAGAAATGACTGAATAATTGTGGTATATTAATATCATTATGCTTTTAAGGAGTGAATATAAGAAATTCAGAGAAACATGGGGGAGACTTACATGAATTGATGTAAAGCAAAGCAAGCAGAATACACACTAACTATAATAATAAAAATGACTATGACACTGAAAGGCAGCCAAATTCAGATTAATTGCAATATTGACCAGCATTGTTCCCTGGAAACCAGGTGATGAAATACTTGTCCCTTCTTTAAATATAGAGATAAGAGGCTTTGTGAACATGGTGTTGCATATTTTGTCAGATACAATCTTTTTGTCTGTCATTTTTGCCTAGCTGTTTTACTTTATTACTAAGAAGTAAAGTTGATGAAAGACACCTGCCCCTCCAAGCTGTCTCCCTGCAGCATATTGTTCTGTGAAATTATTTTTATATTTACCTTGTTTGTGGTTTGGATCCACTTATCTGTGTTCATTCCCTAACCTACCCAAAAAGAGAATGTAAGTTTTGTGGGTGAGGGGTTTTTATGCTGTGGCAGCTTTTTGCCTTTATTTCTATTCCCATCTTAGTACGGTGCCTGGTAAAGTAAATCCTTAATAAGATCTTGTTGCAATGAATTATTCCTCTCTCACCCAATCTCAAATGTCAGTTTTAGGGAAGAAGAGGGTATCACTGGAGAGTTGTGTGATAGAACAAAAGCCTACCAACACAAACTGAAAGAAACTTCTGAGGTCTAGAAACCAACAAATGGAATTTTAATAAAACTAACAGCACGTTTCCCAAAACTTTGAGCCACCGGAAGGAACGGTAGGAGTGGCGGGGTGGGCGCATCCCTGGGATACCCATCAGGGTCAGAGGCTTGGGCTTTGGACCATAGGTGAGAGCTGTGTCCCCGGGACAGCAGCCAGAATGAAGCGGCTCAGATTTGAAGGTTTGAGGGGTCAACAAGGTCTCTAGTGAGTCAACAAGCATTTACTAAGTACCCACTATGTGCCAGGCACTGTGTTGAGTGCTGAGGTTACAAAAGAGGCAAAAGACAATTGCTGCTGTCAAGGAGCTCACAGTCTAATGGGGAAGACAATATGCAAAGATCAAAGCCCACTAGGGTCAAGAGGCTGGGACCTGAGGGCGTGGGGGAGGGGAGACTGAGAGGGAAGAAGGATGAGCAGCAAGTTCTATAGGACACGATCAACCAGATCTGGATGGGGGGAGAGGACCAAGTACAAAAATCCTTGGGGAGGAACTCTTTGACTAGGACTGCTCCAGGGTGATATCGAAGCCAGAGATGAACCCAGGCGTGTGGCTGCTGTTGAAGTTGTTCCTCCTGCTTCTCTTTGGTGGCTGGAGCCCCCCTTTGATAAAGCACAAGTGCACATTCCAGGGACACTTGGTTGTCATTCCTTTCTGGAACATCAGAGCTCCCTCAATCATTCTGTCATTTTCCACATAATTACAGGACTTGGAAGAGACCTCAGTGATCAATCATCTAGTCCAACCTCATTTTATAGATGAAAAAACTGAGGCTGCAAAAGAGGAAAAGACTTACCCTGGTCATGCAATTGGGTGATTGCAGAAGCAGCACTAGGAGTTAGGCCTCCTGAACCTCCAATCAAGTTCTTTGTTCATGATAGCTTGCCATTTCTCCTCTTATCCCAGGTCTCTCCCAACAATCACACTCCCATACCCCAACTTCAGCCCCTAGACTTCCACTCTTTCCCTCAACTCATACTCAAATACTATCACTCCAAGCCCAGTCCCTTCCAGAGAGATGACTGAGGTCTAGAGTTACCCACAGAAAACATACATATAACACAATGGTCAAGATGCCCAAAAAGAAGCTCAAAAGCCTGTCAGAGACAGAAGTTCCCTGCCATACACTTTGAGGTCCCTAGACTTGGATGGAGTGGGTTCCCCCAGGAGTTAAATGAACCAGTCTTCAGTTTATCAGAAGTTCAGAATCAAGCTCCTCTTGTTCCACCCCAAGGATGCTCATCACTGTGATTTGAGTGTGAGGCCTAGTCAGGACTCCAAAAACAGTAGGTGAGGCCAGACCCGATGCTCATTACGATGGTCAGGACAAGAAAGAAGACACCAGCAACCCAGACACTATGACTTTCTGTCCGCTGAAGAGCCGGTGCCTCCGTCGGGATCATGTTGGTCACATTCAGCATGTAGCCCAGGGTCCAGCCAATGTCTGTGCCTGCAACCTGGAAGAGACACAGAAAGGGGCTTGGTCAAGGACATCCTGCAGCAAGCACACAAGATACACCCTTAGTCAAGGTGGTTAACTGAAGCTATACACAGCCTGCTTCAGTGGAACTAGTGAGCAGAGGAAATTTACTCAGAGCTCGGGTAATCTGTGCCACTGTTTGCTGCCTGTCCCCAAGTTGGACCTATACCAATGGAATTCCTGTAGGTAATGGATGGACACGGTGGCATGAAAAATAAATGATGCTCATGTTTATTAAAGCCGGTGGGCAGCAAGCCCATGTCCAGGGGTTGACAGTGCCTTGTGACTGCACACATGTGAATGGAGAGCCCCATGGGGATAATAACAGCCCCACCCTGCCCACTTGTGAGGATCCAATAAGGTACTATTTATAAAGTGCTTAGCACAGTGCCTGGCACAAAGTAGGCATCATAGAAATGCTTATTTCTTTAGGGGCTGGATGACAACAAGGAGATTCAGCCTTTTCCTAGAAAGGCGAATGGGTGGGCTGAGGAGTAGGAGCCCTCACCTGTTGGGTAAAGTGGATGTTGCCCCAGGTTCCATCATCAAACTTGTAACCATTGGTCAGGAGGATGAGGATATGTATGGCATTAGTACAGTAGCTGTGCAGCCATTGTTTCTGCTCAGGGTAGCTGGCCTCCACCTGCAGGCCCCATGGTTTGGGGTAGGAGAAAACACCAGGTTCCAGGGCTTCTCTCTCATCACCACCACTGACAACCAGAGGAGCTAGATGTGGCATGAGGAGCAGGGAAGGGGAAGGAGAGCTCCAAGGAACTGAAGCTACTATTGAGAAAGGAAAGCAGGTGGATTTCTGGGAGTCCTCTTAACCTTGGAGCTTCCAGCCCTTCCTGGGGGCCTTTTCTCTCATCATATCCACACTGACTCAAGTGAAAAAGAACATCAAAAGGGAATTTAGTGGCCTTCAAGGTTCTGGAGAAAGAGCTTCAGGTGGGGCAGCTAGGTGGTGCAGTGACTAGAGCTCTGGCCTTGGAGTCAGGAAGACCTGAGTTCAAATCCAGCCTCAGACACTTAACACCTACTAGCTGTGTGACCCTGGGCAAGTCACTTAACCCCAATTGCCTAGGCAAAAAAAAGAAAAGGAAGAGCCTCAGATCAGTTGAGCTAAACTGCTTCTGGGGAACAATGAAGAAAAGAGAACAGAAAAAAATGAGAGACTGAGGTCAGATGTAAAGAGCCTCAACTGTTAAGACTGAAAGATTCAATAGGGATTAGCAAAGGATAGCCCTGTCGTGGACATCAGGAAGAAAAGGAGGGATGAGTAGCAGCTTGGATGAGTTAGGTGCAGACCTGCTGATGCCAAGGAGGAATGGACCAGGCAGGGATGGGGAACCTGCAGCTTCAAGGCCACATGTGGCTTTCTAGGTCCTTTGGTTGGCCTTTTGACTGGGTCCAAATTTTGCAGAACAAATCCTTTTATTAAGGGAATTTGTTCTGTGAAGTTTGGAATTAGTCAAAAGGCTGCACTTGAGAACCTAGAGCTCCAGGTTTCCTACCCTTGGACTAGGCAGACTTCTTACAGGGCTGATGATGTATGAAATTGGCTTTCAAGTCCTAGTCCTAGATATGGATTATGACCTGGAGGCCTGACCATCTTCAAACAATGTTCCCTACTATGTTCAAAGCACTAGGTCAGTTTTCTGGGGAATAGAAGAATAAGACACAGTCCCTGTCCTCATCAACCTTGCAGTATAGTAGAAGAAAGAAGACAGAAATACAGCTAATTCCAATGCACAGCAGAACGTGCTAAGTACATAAGAAAGGCACCAATATATGTAAGTCTTAGTGCCAGATAGTTAAAATAACCGGGGAGCAAATGAGATCTCAGGACTAGTTATTGCCCTGCCCCTAACTAGCTACGGGACTTTGGGTTGAATCACTCAATCTTTTTAAGTTTCAGCACTTAGAAAAGATTTCTCAAATCTTTTCCAACTTTCTATGATAATGGTTCAGTGTGCATTCTGCTCCCAAGGAAAGGTCAGGTCCCAGAAGATGCACTTTGTGAATTTGCCCAGAGGGGCTGCAAGTAGCAGTTCTCACCTGTTTCCAGGGCTTTTGGCAGAATTCCCAAATGGTCGAATTCACAGTGTGCAATGACTGGCCGCCTGTGAGGTTCAAGAAGTGGAAAGTGTAATAGAATCCAGAAAATGCCTGGGAGGAAAAAAAAGTTTTTTCAAAACCCTCTTGCTTCCTGTACATCCTTCCTGTACAAAGTAGACTCCAGGGTCCTGGATGGCCTGAGCCAGAAATTGGGGGATTCCCAAATCCTGGGTCTGGGAACCCAAAGTGAGGCCCTGGATCAGACAAACTCAAAATCTTTCTCCATTATCCTCAATCCTAGTAATTATTGACCTTTCATCCTTGCTTCTTCTGTGCAAGAAAAGTGGCTTCGAGCAATCCTTCAGGATGTGAGGGCTTGTTAAATGGTTACGAGAAAGCTGGGGTGGTTGGCCTCACCAGAGAACTGGGACTGTATGCCTCCAGCATACAGAGGGAGTCTATTCTGTGAACCAAAAACATTGGGATCCAAACACTTCCAAGAGTTACTCTTTTTATAAACTTAGCTGAATTTAGGGCTTCTTCAAACACAGGATTATAGATTTAGAGCTGGAAGGATCCTCAGAGGTCAGCTAGTCTAATCACAGGTGATAAGTAGCAGAGCTGAAAGTACTTAGTGAAAATGGTAGGGTCAAGGTCCAACCTAGCTACCTCCAAGAATGAAAATCCTCTCTTCCTGAATTTCACTTCTTCATAGATCCTTTGCAAGCACCATCGAATTCTCCAAGTGAATGGCCCTGGCTCTAAGCTGGTGAAGACTAGAAGCTTCCTTTCCCTCCCTACAGAATTTTTTTGTTGTCTTCCTTCCTACCTTCCTTCCTTCCTTCCTTTTCTTTCTTTATTCCTCTTCTTTCCTTTTTTCTTTTCCTTCCATCTTCATTCCTTTCTTCCCTCTTTTCTTCTCTCCTCCTCCTCCCTCCTCATCTCTTTCTCTGTCTCTATCTCCCTCCCTCTCTCTTTTTTCCTTTGCTTGTGCTATGAGGAAGTTTGGGGTGGAAGTTGTGGGGAGGGTAAAACTTTGAGAAGGAAGGGAAGGGAGAATCTTACATAGAACTGGCCATGCTTCTGAGGCTGGTAGATACATCAAAGGTACAGTCTTCCCGGCCCTGACAGGCAGAGAAGTTGAAGAGACTATAGACAGCAGCATAACAAGCTTCTGGGTTTCCTAGCCCCTCCACCCTGAGGCTCTGTGCAGAATTAGAGTGTTGGGAGCTCTGGATACAAGGCGTGTCATACAGGTCAGCCAGAGACAGTGTATCCTCGTATCCTCCATGGTAGCATGGGTTCCGGACCACTTCAGAAGGGCTGGTCTGGGGAGAAGGCAGTCACTCCAGATCATTCATTACCTTAATACCTAGATCCCATCTTGATTTAACTTTGATACTCATCCCTGCTCTCCACTGTAATCTAAAGATGAAAATAGAGGTCCCCCTTCCCTTAAAATTTCTCCCTTCTCTGCTTAGTGATGCCTGAAATGTTGACCCCACCCCAGTTTCTGAAACTCACCCTGTGTCCCACACTCCATCCTCTCTTTCTGACCCCTTTCATCTCCCATCCTCATACATACCTGCACCAAACGTGCCAGGAGCCGTTTCTCCAACTGATCCTGTCCATAGCACAGGTAGCTATGTGAGTAGACATTGTAGTCATGCCCATAGAGGCGGAAGGTGGCCTTGGTGCTTGGGTCAACAACAGGGCCAAGTGGAAGGAAGGAGATCTGTGCTGAAGCTCCACCTAGGTCAAGGGCTCCCACCATCTCAGCCATAGGGGGTTGGATCCACTCCCCTGAGAAGGTGTACTGACCCCCCAAACAGCAGTCATTCAGACCCATGTACACCAATGACTCAGACCTCCCAGTCACTTGTGGCTTTGGGCCCCTAGAATCCTCCCCTCCCAATCTCCCAAGGCACCTTCACCAGGGTCTCCAGGACGTAGTTAATGGTGATCCAGCCAAAGGAGGCTTCATCATTCCCTGTCAGAATTTGGGCTCCCTGGAAATTGACAGGGAACTGGCCCAGGACCTTGGTGATTTCTTCAAAGATCCAATCTGCCTGGGAACTATTCTTCAATCTGAAAGTAGTGTGGGGGGTAGAAAGTGAAGTTCTGGATGGCTGCAGACCCCTTCCACAGAAAGATTTGTTTTTTTATCTAAAATTCCCATTTCTGTAGTGCTTTAAGGTTTATAAAGTGTTTTCCTCACAACAATCCTGTCAGGTTAGGGAGTGCTAAGGATGGACCTGAGTTGGGATCCTACCTCTGATACTGACTAGCTATATATTCGTGGGCAAATCCCTTAATTTCTCTGAGCCTTCATATCCTCATCTGTAAACCGAAGATAACAATTACCCCTTCTTCACAAGGTTGTGGTGAGTGAAGATCATATGATATACCATAAGGGAAGTGCTTTGAAAATGCAGTACAAATTCCATCTATTATTATCCCCACTTTACAGATCAGAGTGGGAAACTGGCTTGCCCAAGGTCATACAACTAACTAATAAGTATCAGAGTTAGGATTCAAACCCAGGTGTCTCTTGCCTTCCCATTCTGTATTCTTACTGTACCAGGCTAAGGCTAATCAGCTTACTCTTACTGAATACCCAATTTGAGATGAGTGAACTGCTGTGGCTTCAGTTTTCCCCTTACATAACCACACAGCTATCAGGGGCACACTAGGGAAACAGAGGAACAGAGAGGGGGGCGCTAAGGAATTCAATACGGAATTGGGACAAGGTCCAGAGGAAGCAGCAAGGGAGCCTCCATGTTCCTTCTGCCTTCACCCAGGGGCGAGCCAAGAGCTCAAGAAGCTGACATCTTCCATTCATCATTCATCCTAGGCTCTCTTGAGATTCCCATGCACTCCAGTTCCTGATCTCAAATTCAGCCACTTTTGCTTGCTTTGAGGAGTAGGAGGAAAGGGACTTTTACCCTCTTTACCTACCCTTATGAGATGCCCTTCCATAAATTGAGAGAACCATACTTCTTAAGTCTCCCCAGCCTCACCAATAGATAGATTCTCCCACCCTGCTCCCCACACCCATGCAGAATTCCCAGCAACCTCAGAAGCCTCATTCCTGCTGTGGCCCCAAGAAAAGTAGGAGTCTCCTGGTGCTTGTCTTCTGGAATCAGGGCCAGTGCCTTCTCCATACAAGTCGTCAGGCTCTCCTCAGCCTTTGCTGGGTCATCGCCATAATGAGAAATCCCAGGCCCTGAAAAATAACAATCCTAGAAATTAGGATCTTTACTAGAATTTAACCCTTTATTCCTGCTTTCTGAAAGGGTGATGGTGGACCTCTGCATGTGTTGGCTTCAAAGTTTGAAGTGGGAAAGAAAGATATCCCTGGAGAGCAGACATAGATCACAGGACAAAACAGAGAGTGTGAGATGGAGACTGAGATACAAAGGCAAAAGTATGCAGAGAGAAATTGAAATAGAGAGAGATAGAGGGAAAGTGTATGAGAGAGACAGAGACAATGATAGAGAGGAGAGAGATGGGGGAGGAGGGAAGGAAGGAAGGAGAGAGAGACAGAGTGAGAAACAGAGACATAGGAATAGGGGAATTCAGAGAGAAAATAAGACAAATATAGAGAGAAACTCATAAAAAGAGACAGAGAGAGGGTGTACAGAAAGACAGGTAGGGAGAAACAGAGACAGGCAGAGACCCCTCATGAGGAAGCAGTAGAGGGCATGCCTGTCCTAGCATATCTTGGACTAGACCCTTCCACCCCTGAGATTCTAGGGGTTCATAAAATATCCCTGCAAAGAGTCAGATTATAAACTACTTTGGGTACAGAATCCATACTTTTGGTGCTTGTGTGTGCAGCCAAAACTGACCTTCCACATTGCAGGACAGAGCCTGGCTCACGATGCCGGTGCCATTCTTTTTGTCTCCTGGCCACTTGTAGACGTAGAGAGATGTGTGTGAAGATCCGGCATCGAACACCATCCCATACTGGTGGAGCCATGAGATACAGGTCAGTGATGCTTTGTTAAGGTAACTCACTGGATCTAAAAATACTGATATCTCTCATAGCAGCCCCAAAGATAGACTCTGTGTGTGTGTGTGTGTATGTGTGTGTGTGTGTGTGTGTGTGTGTGTTGGATGGGGATAAAGTAGGATAGGGGAAAATAGGGCAGGGTAGAATATGGCAGGATAGGGCCTACCTTGGCATGTGGAAGCCCGAAGACATCTGAGCCATCCACAAGAAAGAGGATGAGGGCAATGATTCCTGATATTATTGCGGCTCCCAGGAGGAAACTGAAGACCACGTCTCTGTGAGGGCGCCCCATGTTCACTTGAAATCTGGGGGTACAGGAAGCATTGAGGACCCAGCCAAACCTCTTCTCCTGGGGGGTTCAGCCACCCCTATACTCTCCCCAAATAGGACTTGCCCTTCCCAAGCCTTGGATTCTCCCAGAGAATTCCCCCCTCAGCCACTGTTATTCAGGTCAAGCCCTTGTACTACATCCTGAACTTGCAGATTTAGAAGTAACTCTGATGATTTTTTTCTTTAAGGCAATTGGGGTTAAGTGACTTGCCCAGGGTCACACAGCTAGTAAGTGTTATGTGTCTGAGGCCGGATCTGAACTCAGGTCTTCCTGAATCCAGGGCCAGTGCTCTATCCACTGCGCCACCTAGCTGCCCCTCAGAAGTAACTCGGAGAGGACAAATGGGAATCCTCCTACCTTCAGGCTGGTGAATAGACAAGGCTCAGGACTTTATTGCCTGAAATAGAGAATCATCTGTCTTTATTGAGAATCCTTACATCTTATGGACAATTCCAATTCTGCTACCATAGACCCTCAAAAAGTGATATTGCCTTTCTACAACTACAGATAACTCCATCAGACCTTGAGTGTATATTATAATATGGTCTGGAGGTGAAGTTCAAGTTGTCTAGCAGCTATTTGGATCCATGAAGTATTGGTTCACACAGGAATTAGAGCTGGGCAGTGTTTGAGGAAATGTGGTATTATAATGGAAAGAATGCTGAAATTAGTCAGAGAACTGGGTTCAAATTCTGACTCTGCTATTTATCCTGTGTGACCCTTGGGGGAAACTCCTTTCCCTCTCTGAGCCTCATTTTCCTCATTTGCAAAATTAGGGGGTTGAATTAGATAGTCTCCAAGGTCCTTTCCAAGCTTTAACATTCTATAATTCTTTTTCCTTAAGGATCCAGGTACAGAAATGCAGAGAAACTTGATAGAAATGCAGAGAAACTCAAATTCTCTGCACTGTTGACAAATAAGGAGCTACAAAGTTCTGGTCTTCAGAAAAAAAGTCAATTGTCATTACTACAACCTAAAGCGTTTTCTGGTTGGCTTGTTATTGAGTACGTCCTTCCCTCAACTTTCCTGTATCTCAGGTTCCCAATCAGTAAAATGGCAATGATAATCCCTGTCCTGATTCCTTCTTTGGGCATTGTGAAAGGGTAAGGGGATGATGAAACTCTGTAGATATATTGACTTCAGAGCTTGAGGTCAGTCAGTCAAAAAGCATTTATTAAGTACCTACTATTTTCTATGCAATGAAAGACAAAAGACAGCCCACACTTTGAAGGACCTCACAGTCTAGTGGGGAAGTGAACATGCAAACAACTGTGTACACTGAAGAGAGCAAATTGGGAGTAATGTCAGAGGGAAAGCAAGTGTTAAGGGGGATCAGTAAAGGCTTCTTGCAGAAGGCAGGACTTTAGCTGAGATTTGAAGGAAGCCAGGAGGTGAAGATGAGGAGGGAGGGAATTCCAAGAATGGGGAACTGCTGGGGAAAACACCTAGAGTAGGGGAACAGCAGAGAGATTTGTATCACTAGATCACTGAATACATGAAGGAGAGTACAATGTAAGAAGAATGGAATGAGGCCAGGTTATCACAAAGGGATTTAAAAGCCAAACAGAAGGGGGGGAAGAAGGATTACTCCTGAAGGGTGGAAAGAGATCACAGAGAAACAAACTGAGACAAAGTAAGATGGAGATAAAGAGACAGGGACAGAAGGATGGCGAGAGAAACTGAAATAGAGATGGGGGATGTATGTTTGTGTGTAGTGTGTAAGAAAGACACACACACACACACAAAGAAACAGATAGACAGGGACTCAGAGACACAGTGAAAGAGAGGAGAGTACAGAGTGTGAGAGAGAAAAAGAGAAACACAGGGGGACCAAGAAAAATTTAAGAAAGAGGGAGAGAAAATAGGAGGTACAGAGAGATGCTGAGAAAGCATGAGATGGAGGCAGAGAGACAGAGAGACAGAGCCAGAAAGTTGTGAAGACAAAGATGCTGGGGGGTGGGGGGATGGATGGAGCCAAAAGATATAGACAGAATGATAGGAAGAGGAGAGTGCAGAAAGAGAAATTGATACAGAAAAGGAAACAGGGAAAAATTCAGAGATTAAATGGGAAAGATCTCCGGAAGAATGAAAGACCTGTAATATAAGTTATTTTCTAATTTCATACCTTTCTAATCAAAATTTCCTTTTTTGTTTTTAGAAGGCAATTGGGGTTAAGTGGCTTGCCCAGGGTCATAAAGCTATTAAGAGTCTAAGGCACAGTTTGAACTCAGGTCTTCCTGACTCCGGGGCTGGTGCTGTATCCACTGCACCACCTAACTGCTCTGAAATTTACTCTTAAATGGCTGTTGTTCCTTAGGGATTTCTAAAACTTCCTTCTCTCTAACCTGTAGTTTTGGGGAGAAATTTTGTTCCATTTCAATTCATCTTGCTTCCCTGGAATCACTGAACTTGGTATTTTATACATGGCTTTTCCTGGTATGATGGTTGTGTGATTTTGGTTTTTTGGTTAGGCTTATGATTTCATTGGTCAAACTTCCATTATGAAAACACCCTCCATCAATGCAGATGTGCACAACTCCTCGGTCATTTCTAGTTTTAGAAAGTCACCTGGGGCCCTGAGAGGTTAGATAATTTGCTGGTGCTCACGGGGTTAGTACATACCAGAGACAGACCTGGAGCCCAAGTGTGGCAAACTGCAAGGTCAGTTCCTCTATCTACTCTGATGCCATGATGCCTGTAATTATTGGATGGAGTCTCTACTGGGGTCCTCAGAAATGTGGATTTTATTGTCACTCTGAAAAGTAGCACAGAGTTTGACTTGTATTGACTTCTACCTCAGGGAAAAATTCAGGACTCAGGAAGATTCAAGTCTCAACTTGCCTAGGCTGCCGGCCTTACGGTAAGGGGCTGAGTAGACAGAGTTCGAATGCGAAGCAGAGAGAAGACTGGACCCAGGCAAGCTGGCTTTGGACTTTGTGTCTCTCTGTCTCCTCCCTCTATCGGGACGTCATAGAAGGCTGAAGCAGCTTGTTTTCTATGTTGCAATCAGAAATGAAATTTTAGACTCCTTATTTCTAAGAAATTCAACTTCCACTCATTCTCTTGGCTCATGGACACTGTTGCTGCACATTTCTAAGGTGGAAAAAAAAAGGCAATATTCCAACTCCATTTCCTTGCTTTTTAAAATAGCTAATGACCCAAAAAGTGGTTGTTCTTTATTTCTTTTACTTTCACGTAGTACCTGGGGCACATTATCATCTGTGCCCTTCTTAAAGATCTCCAAGAGAAGAAGCCCCCAGGTTTTCCTCAATTATGCATTCAAAGTTTTATCCCCTAGTGAGCTGGAAAGTCTTTCCGTGATTATAATTGAAATTTCTGATAAACATCGGTCTCTAGCTTGGGTTCTCTGTGAATATGGAGGACAACTGGTGAAAAGTCCTCCTCCACTACTTCATAGATAGGAAGATAGACATCCTCAGCCTTCTAGTCTCCTATCTTTAGGGCTGGAAACAATCTGTGATTTCATTGGCATAGGGAACCCCCCACAAGGAAAAATCTCTCTGTTGATGCAAGTTGGCACCCTTTCTGCAACTTGTCTTGGAGACCTGCTTAGGGCACAGTTAGACTAAGTGATGGCTCAGGGTCACCCAATCAGCATGTGCCCAAGGCAAGACTTGAACCCAGATCTTCCCGACTCCGACACCAGCTGTTTATTCACTACACCATGCTGCCTTTCTGCTGGTTCCTTTCATTTGTTATTTTCTGAACATGATTTCATCCATGCCTCCCTTCTTGGCATCCCCTACGTTATTTCTAAACCAGCTCCAGGCCATGCTTCTGCCTCATTCTGGGTTACAGCATTCCCAGCTTCCCAGAGTTTCTGCAAAACAAACCTCTCCCCATTCTCAGCCTAGCTGGAGGCAGGGAATCCAGAGTCTCTGGGGTTCATTTCCCCTGAGCCAAACCATGTAGGAAATCAGAGAAGAGCCCACCCTGATGCAGGTTTTCATCCCCTCACTCCTGAACTACTGTATTACAAATAGCCTTTCGGACCCGCTGCCTCAAATCTCTCCCCACTCCAATCCAACCTCTCCTCAGCTGCCGCATCATTCCACTGCTCACTGAGCTGCTGTGGCTCCCAATTACCTCTGGGATCACGATCCTATCTGGCATTTTAAAGTCTTCATAACTCAGTCCCATCTCACCATTCCGTGATTCCTACACTTTACTTCCCTCCGTTTTTTATGATACAGCAGCACCCGCTTTCCCCATGTTCCTTACACACGACGCATCACCTCCCAGCCCCTGCGACTTTTCGAAATGACTGTTCTCTGTGCCTGGCAAGCTTCCCCTCCTTACTTGTGTCTTTGGGCTTTGCTGGCTCCCTTCTAGAATCAGCTCAGATCCCATCTTCACCTGCAGGAGGCCTTTCCCCTTTCCTATCCCTCCTTTCCCCTCCGCAGTGCTTTCCCTGGTGACTATCAGCCATCTGATCTGTATATACCTTGTATGTAGGTAGTTGTTTGCATTGTTTCCCATCATTCCTAGAGGGCAGGGATTGTTTTTGCTTTTCTTGGAAGCCTCAGTGCCTAACACAATGCCAGGCACTTAGAAAGGGCTTAATAAAATAGTTATTGATGACAGTTGGCTGGCGGGAAAGGTGGGTTGGAGTGGCTATTTCCTTCTGCTGTTCTGTCTCCTGCTTAATCTCCAGTCTTGTCTGACCAAGTGCCTGCCATCCTGGGCTGTGTGTGTCTCTAGCCTGATCCCCAGCCTCCTCTAGGAAGAGGTGAGGTCCCTTTTACCGAACGATTAACCCGGTCATAACCTTCAAATCCTGGTGATTCTGAACCCAGTAGGTCATCCTCCAAACCCCATTCACCATCTCCCACCACCCAACTGCTTATTTCCTTCCACCCCAGAGACCCAAATACCACCCACCCTTGTACTGTACCCCTGGAGTGCCTGTTACATAGGCAGCAAACTTGCCTTTATCTTAAATCTTTTCCTCTC